CTCTCCCTCTACTCCTACTCTCATTCAACTATTATCTTATCCTACTTCTATCCTCATCTCTTATCCTACTTCCCTACTCTTCTTACCCTCACCTCGTCTCTTACTCTCCTACTCCTCTCCTACTCTCCTACTCCTCGTATTTGTCTTTCGAATGATATATTGTACTACATGTTTTGGCCAGCTTATATCTGGTATATATTTTTCCATATTCTGAAAAGTAACAATGTATATTCATATATATATATATACATATACAAATATCTTTTGGAATAATTATACCCGTATATATTCGTGTTTATATATTCGTGTCTATTTATATATTTATATGTCTATTTATATATTTATATATCTATTTATATATCTGCATACTCATATGTGTGGTATATCTAGTAGGTAATAGTGGATATTGTTAGCTAGTTAAAAGAGAATACATCTTATGTAAGATATCTACAGGAAAAGGGTAGTCAGTGGCCCTATATACTGAGGCGGATACGATGCCAGGGTATCCGCCTATCAGGAGTAAGGGAACAATGGCCTCCGACTTCCGTCTAGTTAAATGGCACCTTTACTACAGGTAAGCTGGTTTTTACCTGGACGTAATGCCTCTAAGCGGTATTTTACTTACCAACTAAAGGAGTTACTTCACTAGTATGCGCTCCTTGCTGGAAAATTTCCTGTGTAACTGAGGTTGGTATACAAGTAGAGACAGGAGGATTCTTTTTTAGAAAAGGTGCGTCCCATAAATCATTAGGCAATATTTCAAAGCACTTGGCATGCAGATTTAGAAATGATATGTTGGACACCAGTATGCATCCTTACTTTGGCCACTTTTAGTTTAAGAAAAAAGGTGCCACAGAATGAAGAATATGTAGTATATGCGAATGCAGACTACCTTTTTTCTACCCTGGATAGAGAATATCGATAAAACACCAAGCCTCATCAAGCCTCACTGTACCATTTAGCTATAAGGTTAGACCCTGCATTTGAAAAGAGTATTCTCTGCTGAGAAAGGCAGGGTTAATATCTCCCGCAGTTATCATTTTTAGATGAGTGCGTTTGCTGTGGAAACCCGCTAGGTCCAGTTCCTACTCTTTTTTATTGTCATGCCGCATCGGAAATATCGCCTAATGATTTATGGGACGCACCTTTTCTAAAAAATAATCCTCCTGTCTCTACTTGTATACCAGCCTCAGTTACACAGGAAATTTTCTAGCAAGGAGCGCATACTAGTGAAGTAACTCCTTTAGTTGGTAAGTAAAATACCGCTTAGAGGCATTACATCTAGGTAACAACTAGCTTACCAAGATAAATAACTAACAGCTGAAGTTCCATTGTACTTATGTAGTTGGTGATACAAAGTGCCATGCTTTTCTTGCGCGTTGAAGATATTTCAGATTCCGGTTCCAATCAAGCCAACAAGGATTAAACAAGTCATTTTACACGTTGTGTATCGCGGACATACTCCCTCTCATCTAGAATGATATTATATAGTTATGGTATATAAGTACCTCTTCGCCTTTCCATATCGTTCACTGTGAACCGAAAACCGTTATTAATAATGTTAAACAACCTGACCATGAGTGACATTCAAACTGAAAAGAACAATACCGACGAGAATCTTAGCGACAAGGTTGTGTTCCAAGGTATCACACATCTCTTACCATTTATTATCCAATTCTCGTTCATTATGTGGTTAATACACCATAACAGGGTTAATGGGTTTCCTACTGACCCTGCAGTTGCTCCAATACTGCCGGGTTGTGATAGCATCCTACTATGAGGCATTAGCTGATGAGTTATTCTTTACTGGTGCAGTTATTGATACAAAAGGTCATCAAATATACTACCAGAATGTCACGTGAGCTGGTGCCTTGGAGGCCAGAAACGAGATGGTCAGACAGGAAAACGGCAGATGGTGGGGTATAGCCGCAGCAGCTGGTACTGGTATAGCTGGTACTGGTTTACTGTGAGATCTCATTGAAATCCATTGTTTTGTTTATGGTCAGCCAGAGTTTAAGTTAAAAGCTTGTGTGGTTGCTGCTATGACCACGGCTGTTGCGGCTGGTGCCACAGTTGCTGGAACTGTGTATGCTTATAAGTCGATTAGAAGTGACATCGAGCTCAACGGAGGTATTAGCCATGATATCAGCAATATCCCTGCGCAATTAAATGCTCAACCAGGGATGAATGTTGATTACATACACACTGGCCTACAGGCAAGGGACATTAGTAACAACAGTTACAGCACAATGGTGGAGGTAAACTATACCAGTCCAGGTGGCTTGACTTTCAGTTCATACGTCGATTTAGGTCTCGCTATCACCTCCGGAATTGTCGAACTAGGAACACATTTCGACCAGTCTACTGCTACTTTAGCTAAAAGGTCTTATATGGATAAAGGGATCAAACATTTTTCTGACGGTTGGGGAATTAAGCTATCTTACTGTCATACACAAGCGGCCGACTTTTTGACTATGATATATGACTGGGATGGCTTGTATAACTCTATGGAGACATACTATGATTACTACATACGTGGTAGTGTTTTGACTTGGTATTTTGCGGGTATTAATAACAATTGGCTCGAAAGCGGAGGTAGACACCGGTTGTTTATGGAGTCGATGATGGTCTTTGAAACCGGAGGGTTTGGGGATAGGTACGATAACTGTGGTAAATATTACTTCGCTGACATCGCGGTATAAGCCATAGTTGTTCTCAGTACAATAAACTGATGTGCTGCTTCGTGGATTACAAAACAGGAGAGGATGTCTCCCAGGGTATTAAGTACTTTAAAAAATCAATATTTTTTTCTTTAACTAATTATAAACATTATTTACTAGATATTTCATACTCTTCACATTCTTTCGCATGGAACCTATATAGTAGAGGTGCCATTTAACCAAACGGAAGTCGGCATCGACTATCCCCCTACCCCCGATATGCGGGCACCCTGGCATCATATCTGCCTCAATATATAAGGTCACCGACTACCTTTATCTTGTATATATCTTACAGACAAAAGTACTCTCTTTTAGCTAGTTAACAGTATCTACTCTTACCTGCTAGATATTCCAGACGGTGATAACATCCTCTTATAGTCTCTCCCGCATCTTTGTTGCTCTAGTCATACTCTTTCAACGCACCTGCTCCTCCCAGATCGATCAATTACTACGGTATAATACGCAACTTTACAAAAGCCATATTCATACTGCCATCCAACTGCAGAAGCATGGTTGATCGATGGACTGGGTCCTCTGAGTACAGCAGTCAGGCTGCGTGAATATTGTATCCCATGTTTATTTAGTATATCCTGTACATATACTATAGCCTCATGTCATATACAAGACCTCGCGTCTAAAGTCTCATGTCACATGCAAAACCTCGCGTATATACATACCGTATTAGAACAGAAATTGCTCGTTTTACCTTTTTGAAGCACCTCCATTTCCATAGTTTAATCATCCCTGTACTATAAGTTCAATTGATTAGCAATTCAACCATCACATTACATGAATGACCAACTATTTGAATGGCCCCAGGTTTACCTGAATACAAAAATCTTAATATCGATGCACGAATGTGTTAAGGGATATTTTCAGGATTAAATGGTACCTTTAGAACACTTGGAAATATCGACCGGTAATATCTACCTGGATCAATAGTACCTTTAGTACATCATTCGTAAAACAAACTGCCCAAAGAGACGACCAACCAAGTGGATCCCACCATCAATTGGCAAAACGACACCATTGAGGTAATCACTACCAACACCGCTACACATGAACTGGACAATCCCCATGAAATCCTGTGAGTTTCCTAATCTCCTTCTTGGGTTGTTTGCCACATAAGTATCTCTCATAACGTCCAACAAACTGTCGGTCATTTCGGTACGGAAGAAACCTGGCGCGAGGACATTGACGGTGATATTACGTGGTCCCAGATCCAATGCAAGAGCTCTATCCAAGTGGTTTACTCCAGCTTTGGAGACGACATACCCGTAGCAACCGCCCACATCGGCGCCAATGCCAGCGATAGAATCGGTGATCAAGATTCTGGCAGGGTCGGAAGGAGTTCCGTTCTTCTCCGGCAATTACAAGTGCTTTTGAATGGAAACAAAGACCGCGGTAATGTTCACATCCAAAACTTCGCGAAAAGCCGAGATAGGGTGAGTCTCAATCACTCCACCCTTGAAATCACCAGTGTTAGCGATCAAGATGTGGAGCCTATCCACCTTAGCCACAACGGCCTTATAAAGAATATCCAAGCCCAGGTCACTGGTCGTATCAACAGCAACCCCAACGATCTGGCACTTCGGATTGTGTTCGGCGGCGATCGATTCAAGGTATTTCTTGGCCTCTCGGGTTGCCTCATCACTTCTGAATGTTATAAAGAAAATGAAGATCTGAGCGCGGACTAAGCTCTCGGCAGCGCGAAGGCCCAAGCCCCTAGAAGAGCCGGTAATGAAGTCATTCTTACCAGTAAAGCTGATTGGTGCAGAAATGGTGTAAAGATAGTTTTTATGAGCGAATAGTTACGCATGGATGGGACATACTCAAGGAGGATACAATGGCTTTATATAGCGATAAAAAAACCTCCACATCTTTGTCGTAATTTCAGTACACGAGCATTTTTGCTTATAAACCAGAACAATAAATATACAGATAGTGGCAAATCATAGACGATAGCAAATTCGTAGGTGGTGGCAAATTCCGATTATGGTTGCTATCAGCCGAATTTTGGAATGATGATTCTTCTAAACTATTACACAGCTTAAAGCCTACACCTTCATCCTTGCTACAGTCATCACCGGTGAAGCACCAATAATATTCTCTTTGGTATAGTAATCGCCTATGCAGCTGGCCTTTCTTGAACGAACTACCGTACGCAATAAACCCAACATGGAATATATTAAAGTTGTGCCATCTGGGAAATCGCACGTTGATATGGAAATATTGGTTTTGATCCTGACTTTTGTGTCAATGATCAAATATCATAGCCGCATCTAATTCGACGGGTATCCGAGGTTGCTTTTTATCTCGTGTATTCTCCAACAGTAAATACAGGCCAAGATACAATTGGTAGAGGTGGAACCTTGTTACCAGCGCGTTAGTCTTCATGGATTTTACAGAGCACTATGTATATACACGTAACCAGAAATACTATGCTATTAAAGTTATACATAATTATTGATAATCTATTTATAGGATGGGTACTAGTGTCATATTCCAACAAAGGTTAGATGCTGTGCCTGGTGCTTCCCGGAAGGATGAAAATCCAACAGTCATTATAATGAATATTATAGGGAGTAAAAGGTGCTGTCATCAACAAGAATTTACCCAAGTGGTTTCTGTGACCCACACGGTGTTGATGGATGAAACTCCTTGTGATGGAACGTTATCAGTAGTAGAAGGTGCCGGAGTAGGTGAGGACACAACAGAAGAGCTTGCAACAGAGGAGCTTGCAGCAGCAAGAGACGATGACAGGAAGGAAATTGAAACAGAGGATGCTAGATCAGACGAGTTTGGGGTAACAGAAGATCTTGGAGCGACAGATGCAGAGTCTGAAGAACCTGAAGCGGTGGAGGTTGGATCGGAAGGGCTTGAAGGAACTGATGCTATATCAGAAGAGTTTGGGGCAGCATAGGAACTTGATGCAACAGGAGCTGGACCAGAAGAGCTCAAACCAGCAGATATTGGATCAGAAGAGCTTAGTGCGATAGACACTGGATCTGAGGAGCTAGAAGATTCTGGCACTGAAGCAGGGGAAGAAACATCTGACACCGGAGTGGGGGAAGAACTAGAAGTACCTGATTCAGAAGAGGAGAAACTGGATGCACCTGGAGTTGGATTAGAAGAGCTAGAATCACCAGATGCTGGAGCGGAGGAACTAGAAGTGCCGGATACTGGAGCAGAGGAAGAAACATTTGACACCGGAGTGGAGGAACTTAAATCACTGGAAATGAAAGTGGAAGAGCTAGAAGCGTCTGACACTGGAGTAGAGAAACTGGATGCTCCTGGAGTTGGATCAGAAGAGCTAGAATCACCAGATGTTGGAGCGGAGGAACTAGAAGTGCCGGATACTGGAGCAGAGGAAGAAACATCTGACACCGGAGTGGATGAAGAACTAGAAGTACCTGATTCAGAAG